CATCCAGAGGGGTGGTGGAGACAATCATTCACTGGTTCCCCAAAACTATTTTATTTTCCTCTCCCAGAGAGAGCTTCCTATTTGTTCAGCACTAATCTCTAGACAGAAGCCCAGCTAGAACCTCCTTATAATAATAAAGCAGGGGCTTCCCTGGTGGTGCAGTGGTTAAGAATCTGCCTGCCAATGCAGGGGACAGGAGTTTGAGCCCTGGTCCGGGAAGATCCCACATGCAGCAGAACAACTAAGCCCCTGTGCCACAACTACTGAGCCTGCGCTCTAGAGCCCACAAACCACAACTACTGAAGCCGGTGCGCCTAGAGCCCATGCTCCGCAAAAAGAGAAGCCACCGCAATGAGAAGCCTGTGCACCTCAATGAAGAGTAGCCCCCTCTCGCTGCAACTAGAGAAAGCCCACGTGCAGCAACAAAGACTCAATGCAGCCAGAAATAAAAATAAAATAAAATAAAAAATAATAAGGCAGAGTAGTTAGCCCCTCCATCCAAATATTATTGTAGAATTTTATTACTGAAATTCTTTCACTGTGGTTCTAAACTTCTTTTGATTTACAGACCACTTCGATAATTTGAAAGAGCTGCATCTCCTCTTATAGATGAGTGCACAGACAAAACACTTGAAACTATGTGTATAACCTTGTGCACTGTTTGGTTTTTATTATTGTGTGTGTAACACCTATTAAATAATGATAAATAATAATGAGGAAAGTTAATGCTCATTTGGAGCTTCTAGATAACCCGTGATGAAATAAAATTCATATTTTATGGCATGACAAGAAATTTTAAACATAAAATTTTCACTGCCCGTTTGGGCATCCTTTAGTGTGCATTGTGCATCTGCATTAACCAGACCTCCTTAGGAGATAACCTTCCTTCTTAATCTCACACAAGGTCACAACTCCTTAGAAGATAACCTTCCCTCTTAATCTTGTAAGGGGACATGATGGCTCCCTGTGAGTACAAAGTACTCGCTTTGTACTGTAGATATGGACTGTGTAAACTGTCAATAATACCTAATTTGTCTCAAAAACTTATATAACTTTAGGGGAAACACTGGCTGACACCACCCACCCTGGCCAGGCATTACAGTAACCATTTGAATGAGTTATCTTAAACAGGATGACCTGGTAAGGAACATGGAATTGACAAGCCACCACCAACTGGAAGAATTTGGGAAAGGTCAAAAGGAGACACAAGTCCACGTGTGCTACCAACCTCCCAGAATCCTCCTCGCTGGAATCCATCTTGGCTGAGTGATGCGTGCACCACCTGGAAGGACCCTGAGTCAGAATGATTGGCCAGGGCCTCCCTGGTGGCGCAGTGGTTGAGAGTCCGCCTGCCGATGCAGGGGATACGGGTTCGTGCCCCGGTCTGGGAGGATCCCACATGCCGCGTAGCGGCTGGGCCCGTGAGCCATGGCCGCTGAGCTTGCGCGTCCGGCAACGGGAAAGGCCACGACAGTGAGAGGCCCACATATCGCAAAAAAAAAAAAAGAATGATTGGCCAGAGACAACCTGGAAACTAATTCTATCACCATAAAACCCGAGATTGCGAGCCACATGGCAGAGTAGTTCTCCTGGGTTCCCTTACCCTCCTGCTCTCCACCAAGGTGCCCCTTCCCAATAAAGTCTCCTGCTTTGTCAACATGTGTGTCTCCTCGGAAAATTCATTTCCAAGTGTTAGACAAGAGCCCTCTCTCAGGCCCTGGAAGAGGTCCCCCTTCCTGCAATATAACCATGCTTTGACCTCTAATGGACAGAATAGTCCTCAGAGCTTTTTGGGTTACAATCATCAGGTTGACTGGAATAAAATTTTCCACTACTTTCTTAGATCGACTGTTGATTAATTTTTTCATTGACACCCATGAACTGTTTTTTCATGGTTGGTAGTCTCTCCTTCCATGTCACAGGTCATAGATAAGAGAGCAGGACCATAAAAGTCTACCAATGAATACTAACCAGAGAAGAAAACTTTTGATTTTGTACACCTAAACCTTCACATAAATGACAAAAAAATCATGTAAAATACTTTTATTGTAAAAAAAAAGGCACATTTTCAAAATCTTTAGTGTCAAAATTCTTTAGATTAATAACTTCTTAGTTTTATTTTTTTTATTATTTTTTTTTTTTGCGGTACGCGGGCCTCTCACTGTTGTGGCCTCTCCCGCTGTGGAGCACAGGCTCCGGATGCGCAGGCTCAGCGGCCATGGCTCACAGGCCCAGCCGCTCCGCGGCATGTGGGATCTTCCCGGACCGGGGCACGAACCCGTGTCCCCTGCATCGGCAGGCAGACTCTCAACCACTGTGCCACCAGGGAAGCCCACTTCTTAGTTTTAAAACTTTAAAACTTCAAAGTTATTATTATATTTACTTCTTTCAAACATAAGATGTCATCCTAATTAGAAAAACTCCTTTATTTTGTCAAGATAAATTGCACTATCCAAAATGTTGTTCCAGTTTTCTGTCTACCTAGTCACTTAACTTCATGTTACCTAAACTTGTACATAATACTCTCATGAAACTGCTCTGTTTGTTAAAGGTTACCATCCCCTATTACAACAGTCTCCTTCCTGCCACTATTCTGCTTTTCAATTCATCCTTGTTTCATGAGCAGTTTAACCTTTCTAAAACACAAGTATCATTTTGTCGTTCCCTCAATCAAAAGCACCAAGTGAAAACTAGTGGAATGAATGGTGGGAAGTAGGGTGAGGCCAGATTATGGTTGCCCTGGAAAGTTGAATTTCAAGAGGGAAGTTTTTGAGGAGGGGATTAATATGATAAAAGGTGTTGTTTTACTTAGATCACGCCAGTAGCAGTGAGCAGATGAATTAGAAATGGGAAAGATGAGTCGGGAGGATCAGCTGTTGCAGAGATCAAGTACACTGTGCTGATAGGAGGTAAAGTCTTTCTTGTGGGGACTAAGCCTGCCAAAAAATGCTACCTTGTTGAGAAGTTCATGGTGTTGGTTAGTAGACTGATTGGAAATTGATCAGAGTGTGCAGTGCAGGGTTTAACATATGCACAAAATGAAGCAATTTAGTTAAAGTGTAGCAATTTGATTTTAGATGCAAAAGCTGTATCTGAAGCATAGAAGTTTCCATGGTATGATTTTATTTATTTATTTATTTTTTAATTTTTTTATTTTTTTGTGGTACACGGGCCTCTCACTGTTGTGGCCTCTCCCATTGCGGAGCACAGGCTCAGTGGCCATGGCTCATGGGCCCAGCCGCTCCGCGGCATGTGGGATCTTCCCGGACCGGGGCACGAACCCGTGTCCCCTGCCTCGGCAGGCGGACTCTCAACCACTGCGCCACCAGGGAAGCCCCCTCCATGGTATGATTTTAAAGGGTTGCTGGCTCACTTGGGCATGTGCCCAGGATCTGTGGCCACTCTCTTTAAGAGCTATGACTATACTCAGTTAACCCCATGAAGAGAATCCTTTGGCCCTTTCCTCAGGATCCCAGGTCAGACAAACCAGACAAAACTCTGGTTCTGCTATTGATGTAAACTTGCAGGTAGCTGTGCTCCTCAGGTACCTTCTGGGCATCCAGGACCCCCCCGCTCCCAAGTCATTACCCTGCAAAATTGGAGAGAACTGTAAACCCTTTCTCTGTCCCTGAGCTGGAGACTCGCCTCAGTCCTCATCAGCTGTTCCAGGGAACAAAGGTTAGTAGGAAACAGAATTCAGGCTTGCTTTGTTCTTACACCTATATAGTAAGACTGTACTTTCTAGGTAAGGGGTCTCTTGGTTAGAAGAAAAAAATTCCTAGTCTTAATTCCCTCTTCAGAGTTAAGAAATTTGTCTTTAGACTAAAACAGTGGGAAACAGAGTTAAAAAAAAAAAAAAGAATTAAAGCAGGTGTAGTCAGAAAGATAGGAGGAGGACTCAGGAAGGAGGGAACGCTCACAGAATCAATTGCCTGGAAACCTAGAAGCGTGAGTAATGGGGGTTTTGTTCAAACAAATTATCAGAGATTTTGGACACTGCTGTTTCAGAAAGAGGGGAATTCAGAATAAGAGGGAATGAAGGAGTGGGCAGTAGAAATTGGAAGCTCCCTCTCTACATTGTGTGGTGCTATCAGGTTAGTTTCATTACTACCTGCCTCCGCCTGCAGCCTGTACTGTCTTTTCGTCTTCTATATGCTCCTGAACTCCTGTTTAGAGTCTACCCATCTTTTAAGCCTTAGCTCCGTTTCACTTCCTCCTTTAAGTCTTCTCTGAAGATTATAGTTTTTATTTCTTTCTCCATTCCCTGAAAGCTTATTGAGTTCATTGCTACAATCACACTAGTTAGAATGTAATAGTTGTGTCAAAAGTGTAGGCTTTTTGATATAGCTATATCCTCTCCAGCAAGGCAGTGTAATTTTTGAGTTTGGACACTGTATTGTAAACTTCTTTTGTATACTCTCTGGAAAAATTCTGGGTTTATACCTATTAAATATACTCCCAGGTCTAAAGTTCTGTTAACTATTCAAGAACAACCACTTAAAAATACTGTATAAAAGCTTCTATCTCAACATGCTTAAGCTAAATTTTCAAATAAAATGTATCTATTTTGACTATCTCACAAAATCGCCTATAGCAGAGTTGAACACTCTCACTTATTCAGAATTGTCAAAAGAAGGGACAGCCCCCATTGCTAGAAGTCTCTAGCAATGAGTCCTCAAATTCGGTCTGTATTGAGTAGTGACCTTATAATCATCCCGATGGTAAAAGTGTCAAATTTCGAAAACACCTAGAAAAGAGAGTGAAATGATCATTTAACAATAGCCTGCTTCCCTGCCAAACAAGGGGAGTTGACCCTGTTTCCAAACTCACTTTGGCTCAGATTCTAACGCGGGTTTCGCATCGTTAGTTGTAGGCAGCCAATTGGGCCGTTTGGGTGCCGTGCATCCTGGGAGCTGTAGTCTCTGGCTTCTTCCTCCCGACTACGAGTTCCACCTAGCAGTCGGAGGACGGTTGCTTGGTATTATTAGCAAGCGGGAAGTATGGCGGTGGCGCGCGTCGACGCGGCTTTGCCTCTTGGAGAAGGTAAGGCGATCCCCACCCCTGGGTCCCCATGTTTACTCCATAGAACTGAATTATTGTTACCTGGTGGAGAGAAGAAGACTGGGTTTAGGGGTTCAGTTCTGGACCAGTTCTGATGTGGGTTGTGGGCATCGCGGAGGCGTGCTGCGCTCTGGGAGTTGTAGTCCCCTGGGCGCTGCCTGGCTCTCCGGCGTCGCAGCGAGGGCCAAGCGGGGGACTACAAGCCCCAAGAGACCTTCGCGCTGCTCCCGCCCTCCTGAGGATGCCTGGGCGGTGGGTTTCTGGCCGCCGCGGTAATCTTTCTTGGATGTTTACTTTGAGTTCTGGGTGCCCAAGTGAAAACTGCAGGATCTCCCCCTTTCCCGTGGATTCCTAGAACGTTCAAGAAAACCCTGTGTCAAACACAGCTCTCTAGCTTGACTTTGGGGGCTTCCCTGGTGGGGCAGTGGTTGAGAGTACGCCTGCCGATGCAGGGGACACGGGTTCGTGCCCCGGTCCGGGAAAATCCCACATGTCGCGGAGCGGTTAGGCCCGTGAGCCATGGCCGCTGAGCCTGCGTGTCCGGAGCCTGTGCTCCGCAACGGGAGAGGCCACTACAGTGAGAGGCCCGCGTACCGCAAAAAAAACAAAACAAAAAAAACAAAAAACCCCTCTATATATCTAGATCTAGATCTAGATCTAGATAGATAGATTGACGTTGGACCCTTTCTTGGAAGTGTCCGGTGGCCGTGATAAAATCTGGGGGTTATCCAGAGCCCACAGTTCTCCAAGCCTTTTTCTGCAGACCGGGTCCTGGGGTATAGCTTGGTGTCTGCCCAGCGGAACGCGCAGCGTGGGTGCTTTTGTAGGTGCAGTGTGAGCGGAGCTCCTTTGTTTTGGTTACAGTTCGGAGGCTCTGGGTCAGGGTCAGGGCTGAAGGTGAATGCCCGTCTCGACCGCTTAGGTCTGGGGCTCATTATCTAGGAGGGAGAGTCTAAGAGGTCTCTCGATCCCTTTGAATTGTGTGCAAAGGCTATGCATTTTCCTGGGACGGTATATAGCTTTCACCAAATTCTCAGAATCGAATGACCCCCTCTCCCCGCCCCAAATGCTAGAAGCCATTAGACAATGGAAAAACGTTGGTTGAAACCCTTCAGGAGAGCAATCTCGCATAATTATTTCCCGCAGTAATCTTAATCTGGGTAGAAATTTGAAATTGGCAGTTTCTCTGGCCCGCCCCCTGCACAATCTATTTGTGATAGATATCACAAATCTATCTGTAGCTCTTAAACTCCACCTCCCCAGCCCACCATGGCAATGTACTGATAATAATAGCAGTTAACATTTATACAAGCACTTTTTATATGAGCAAGACTATGTTCTGAGTGCCTTTTTTTTTTTTTTTTTGTAATTATCTCATTTTCTTTGTAGAACAACATTATAGGGCAGGTATTATTATCATTCTCATCTTACAGAGTAGAAAAGTGAGCCCAAAAGAGATCAATAACTTGCCCAAGATACCACAGTGATTAGCTTAGTGGAGCCAGGATTTGAACGTCTGTTAAACATACCAAATTACTTTATTGAATTCTGTGTGCCAGGAATGGGACTAAGTGCTGTTCATATGGTTTCTCTTTTCATCCCCACATCAATTTAATGAATTAGGTATATTATTTCCATTTTGTAGATAAATTAACTATACTTTTCAAAATAGTTTGGGCACTTTATGATATACTGATAGATTGTAAGCACATTCGTCTCTATCAAAAGATTAGTTACATTTAAAAAATACTGTCATTACTTAGGCACAAAATATTGAAGTAATAGTTTACATTTAAATGTGAAGAATTACCAAGTATTATATCAAGGAAACTTGAGTAGATGGACTTCCATAGTGGCACAGTGGTTAAGAACCTGCCTACCAATGCAGGGGACGTGGGTTTGAGCCCTGGGCCAGGGAGATGCCACATACCATGGAGCAACTAAGCCCTATGCGCCACAACTACTGAGCCTGCACTGTAGAGCCTGCGAGCTACAACTACAGAGCCTGCGAATCACAACTACTGAAGCCCGGGCACCCTAGAGCCTGTGCTCTGCAACAAGAGAAGCCACCGCAATGAGAAGCCCACGCACCGCAACTAGAGAAAGCCCACGTGCAGCAACAAAGACCAACACAGCCAAAAATAAATAAATAAATAAATTAATTAATTAATTTAAAAAAAAGAAAGAAAAGAAAAGAAACTTGAGTAGAATATCACAAATCTAGGTATAATTTGATATTTCTAAAGGAAAATGAATAATTTCAATCTGTAGTCACTTAGAAATTGATTGCTTTAGTTTTTAAAGCTTGATGTTTATTATGCTCTAGTGTTTTCTAACTCTAAATGTATAAGATTTTATGAGTATAATTTTATCCCTATGCTCAGCTGTTGTAGTTGTGTTTTCTAACAGTTTCCCTTCTCTTTTCAAGGGTCAGTGGTCAATTGGTCAGGACAGGGGCTACAGAAATTAAGTCCAAACTTACCCTATGAAGTTGATATTCATACTTTGATTCTGGATAAAAATCAGATTATTAAATTGGAAAATCTTGAGAAATGCAAACGTTTAATACAGGTAGGTATTGCTATGTGGGGGAAATAGTTATATAAGGCCAGTTTATTATTATACAAAATAAAAGAGTAAGATAACAAAAAGTAACTCTGCAAGCCTAGAAAGCAGTAAATGTTGCCTTAAATTTTTAAAACTTTTAATAACAAATAAATTTATTTAATAAATGAATAAAATAATTTAAGAAAAAATTAAAAAATTAATTTTTACATTATTATTAAGTGATGCTTATTAAATTTCTACTGAAGATGAACACATTTTTGCTGCCTTTAGAGTAGACTAGAAAAAAGAGCATTTGTTGAAAAAGAAAACATTTTATGTTGGCAAAATATTGTGTTGTTAAGATAACCTTTTATTTCATGGTGGGGGTAAAGAGTTGATTAATTCATTCCTTCAACAAATGTTTATTGGACCCTTATGTGTCTGGTACTGTTCTAGGTTTTGATGGAGATAGTGAAAGAACTCTGTTATTGTGGAGTTTACATTCTCAAGTAGTTGCTGTGTTAAAGATGTTTTCTTTTAGTAGTTGGAGGAGGTCTGATTGCTCAGCTTTATCTGTATTTTCCACTGCTTAGGAATGACAACAACAACAAACTAATAGTTGCACTGCAGAATTTTTAGACAATATATGTGAAAAGTACAAATTGGGTTTGTATATTTAGGAATGTTGGGCCATATAAATAAATCTTTTTAACCACCCTAATGTGAAAGTAATATTTATATTTTACTCCTAAGAATAATGGTATGTTTTCTTTCCACAGTTGTCAGTGGCTAACAATCGGCTGGTGCGGATGATGGGTGTGGCCAAACTGACCCAACTCCGGGTATTAAATTTGCCTCATAATAGCATTGGCTATGTGGAAGGCCTAAAGGAGCTAGTACATTTGGAATGGCTGAATTTGGCAGGAAATAATCTCAAGGTGAATTGTTTCTTTCTTTCTTTCTTTCTTTTTTTTTTTTTACTTCACAAAAGTATTTGCTGTGAAAAAGAAATTTAAGCAGTATAGAAAAAAATAGAATAAAAAGTGAAAGTATCCACTCCCATTTCCCAGAGATAATTTCAGTTAACATAAACTGAAAAAAAAATCTCATTTTGAAAATTCATGCTGAATTAAGTTTTATGTACATGTTTAATGGTACAGTGGAGAATATAATGTTTTAAAAGTCAGGAGATCTGGCTTCTAGTCCTGCTTCCACCACTTAGTAGCTCTATAATTTGGGGTAAGTTAATAAATATTTCTGTGTCTTATTTTTTGATATGCTAGGTAAGGGAACTGGATTAAATGATGATAACTGACTTCTACTGAGTATGTAATGTATGCTAAGTACTATTCTAACCACCTTAACAGTTTTAACTTATTCAATCTCATGACAGCCAATAAGGTAGGTACAGTCTTTATGCTTATTGTATAGATGAGGAAACTGAAGTACAGAGAAGTTGAGTAACTTGCCTAAGGTCACACAGTCAGACAGTTGCAGAGCCAGGATTTGAATCCAGGCAGTGTGGCTCCATTGTTAACTTGTAAAGTCTATGTTATACCAACTGTCACATGTCATCACTAAAAGTTTCTTTAAGCTGTAAATATCTGACTCTACTCTTAGAGAGATAATGAAGGTAGAAACTAGCTATATAGCAGTATGCCAGATTCTGTTGGCACTGCCTCCTTTTTCTCTTGCTAAGCCCTGCTCCTCTGCTTCTGATAATGGGCAGAGGAGGCAAGAGGCTCAGCCACAGGAAATAGGGAAGAATTTCATTTTTTGATTTCATGTGTGTGAAATAATGTGATCCTTTTCTTGTAATAGGCCATGGAACAAATCAATAGCTGCACAGCTCTTCAACACCTCGATTTATCAGACAATAACATACCCCAGATAGGTGATCTATCTAAATTGGCATCACTGAAGGTAAATGTGTTTTCTCTGTCATTTCTGAAATTTTATACTAAAATACCAAGGGAAAATAACCTAATTGATCTAAAATCAGCCTGCTGTTATGAAGAACAGATAGTGTTCATTATGATAAAAATTCTATTAGAGTACCAGAAATTAAGTATGGAACTTTTTGTTGTTAATTTCTATAATTGATTTACTTTAACTAAAACTGGTTATTGTAGTTAAGGTTAATTCTTATTTACCATCCAACAAACATGATGAAATTCCCTTCATGCCCAATCAGCCAACGTTAGCAGCTTCAGTTATATAGTACATAACATGCTGGTGGGCTTGAGAGTAAACATTCCTGAACTTGACTTTGTTTTTTGACACTCAAGATTGCTATTTTTTAGTAATAGATATTACTAAATTATCAAAATTAACCTCACTTTAATTTAAAAAATCTGTGGCCTGTAGCACTTTTTATAGAGGGGAATGTAATCAAATAAGTCAGGGGTCCCCAGACCCTGGGTCATTAGGAACAGGCTGCACAGCAGGAGGTGAGCGGCTGGCGAGTGAGCAAAGCTTCATCTGTATTTACAGCCTCTCCCCATCGTTTGCATTACCACCTGAGCTCCGCCTCCTGACAGATCAGCAGTGGCATGAGATCCTCATAGGAGCGCGAACCCTACTGTGAACTGCTCAGGCGAGGGGTCTAGGTTGCACGCTCCTTGTGAGAACCTAATGCCTGATGATCTGAGGTGGAGCTGAGGCAGTGATGCTAGCGCTGGGGAGCGGCTGCAAATACAGATTACCATTAGCAGAGAGGTTTGACTGCACAGAGACCATAATAAATCAATTGCTTGTGGACTCATATCAAAACCCTATCAGTGAATGGCAAGTGAAAACAAGCTCAGGGCTCCCACTGATTCTGCATTATGGTGAGTTGTATAATTATTTCATTATATAGTACAACATAATAATCACAGAAATAAAGTGTGTAATAAATGTAATGCGCTTGAATCATCCCAAAACCATCCCCCCGCCCCACCCTGCCCCCGCCCCGGTCTGTGGAGAAATTGTCTTCCACAAAACCGGTCCCTGGTGCCAAAAGGTTGGGGACTGCTGAAATAGTAACAGTTGGCACCACAGCTTCAACATGTGTAGGCTTTTTCCATATTTTTGCCCCATTGGATATTATTAGCATCAGATGAATTCATTAACCTTAGAAACAGTATTATTAGCTCAAATTTCACTATATTGTTAGCAGAAATCATTTTTAGCAACAATTATTCTAAGCAATTTGATGTAGCCAGATACTAAGAGAATTCAAATGAACTAAAAATGATTGAACTTTTTTTTTCTGGAATGGAGGCATGATTACCTTATCAGAATCCTGGGTGTTGGGACTTCCCTGGTGGTGCAGTGGTTAAGAATCTACCTGCCAATGTAGGGGACATGGGTTTGATCCCTGGTCCAGGAAGATCCCACATGCCTCGGAGCAACTAAACCCTGTGCCACAACTACTGAGCCTGCGCTCTAGAGCCTGAGAGCCACAACTACTGAAGCCCGTGTGCCTGGAGCCCGTGCTCTGCAACAAGAGAAGCCACTGCCATGAGGAGCCTGTGCACCGCAATGAAAAGTAGCCCCCGCTCGCTGCAACTAGAGAAAGCCCACATGCAGCGATGAAGACCCAACGCAGCCAAAAAAAAAAAAATCCTGGGTGTTGGGAGTATTCACTTTATTCTTCATTATTGCTGACTTTGAGTCAGCACCATCTCTAAGCACATTCAACCTTCCTCAAGCTTTAAGTTACCAAGAGAATATAATTGCAAATTATGGTTTGTGAGTTATCTCTCTCTCTTGGAAAATTTGCTTTATACCTGATTGTTTTAATGAATGTTTTCTTTCACTTTTCTCACCCTCTGTTTTGATGTTTTAAAAGGAAATGAACAAGTATGTTGGAAATTGCTCAAGTTTTAATAACTTAAATCTCACAACATGCCTACACTAAGCATATGTTCTTGGACAAGTCTTTAAACTTTCTTGAGCTTAGAATGTGGATGTGAAAAAGGAGAGTTGGACCAGAAGACCACGTAGGACCCTTCCAGCATTAACAGTCTTTGATTTGTGTGTGATCAGAAGTATAATAAAACAGATCACTTTATGTTTGTACACACCATTTTGGTTTTATCAAAATAGACCAATTTATTTGTAATCTTTTCATTTGTAATGCATTTTCTTTTTACTTTCAAGACCCTACTTTTACATGGAAATATCATCACCTCTCTTAGAATGGCACCTGCTTATCTACCCAGATGTCTTGCTATACTTTCTTTGGCAGAAAATGAAATCCGGGACTTAAATGAGGTAAAATTTGAGGGTGTCTTATGGGATCTGGGAAGCTGGAAAGTCAGGAGAGATGCAGGAAAGGGTTGTGAGCTCACTTTAGACTGTGAGCATCTTGGAAGAAACTGCTATCAGGATGAAACACTTGGCTCTAGAAGATCATTATTTTTCTTTCTACTTTTACTTAATGTCAGTGGGTTATTAAGGCTTAATTTCATTTGCAGTGCTGTACTTATCACTCCATTGGGAAGTAATTGTTGGTAGAGGGACATGTACATTAACAGGGTTAATAAGGCACACTCTGCACCTTTTTCTGGCTGCTGCTATATTTTCAAAATAGGGTTCTTTTTGCTAGGAAACAGTGCTTTCTAAGGGACTTTGTGCAGCACGGACAGATGGCCATATTGTTGGAATTTTGGAAGTCAGTGGATAATATAAGAGTGTTACTTGTCACTTTTCAAAACAAGAGGGAAATTGTTACTTTCTCAAACTGCCAGAGATGTGTAATCAGTGGAAGCCTTGCGCTTGACACTGAGTAGTCCATTTCATTCAACAAAGATGTCCTTTGTTCCAGATCTCTTTTCTGGCATCCTTAACTGAATTGGAACAGTTGTCGATCATGAACAATCCTTGTGTGATGGCAACACCTTCCATTCCAGGGTTCGACTATCGGCCATACATCGTCAGCTGGTGCTTAAACCTCAGAGTCCTAGATGGATATGTGATTTCGCAGAAGGAAAGGTGAACGTGACCTCTTTAACATCACATTTATCATGGAAGTTAACTGAAAAGCCCATTAGCTTACTACAGATTAATAAACTGAATATTTCTTGAAATGTGCATTTAGAAATTAAGATCATTTGTACCATCATATAGCAGACTCTGTGCTGTTCATTTAGGATTTTTTATCCTTTTTAAAAAAGGATAAGAAATAAATATCAACCTTAGAGGTTGTGTCTAGTGAGTTTAACTTCTTGCCCAACATACAACAAATTGATTTCTAAAAATCCTTTTGTTAATCGATTGTTTGGGGCTTGGAGCATTTCTACATAGAAACTGTTATAGATGCTGTGTAGGATTTCAGATCAATCCCACAAAAGCTTCTATCCATCATATTGTAAAGGCAGTATTAATCATACCTTAGTACCCAACTACTCTTTATAACAGTGACCTTGGGAAAATGCGTGCAGAGTTCCAATTTGGAACTGGTAGCAGACATGCTGATTGGTCCTCACCTTCTACCTGTGAAACAGCAGAAGTGGGAACTCCCCCTTCTCTAGATCTTTGATAGTTTTTGCAGCTTGGAGCTGGGACCCCTGCATGATGGGGTCTTCTGGACGCTGGCACATGATCAGTAGAATCAGAGCTTCAGGGGAGGTAAGGAACTAGGTTGTGGACAAGAAGGGGTGGGTTTAGAGAGGATAGTGAGAATCAAGATGACTTAATTCTCTTCACTCTGCCTCATTTCTCTTCTTTTCACTGCATACACACCTGCATTCATGGACTCAACACACACATTCTTCCTCACTGTTTTTGTCCTTCTGTTCTACAGATTGATAGTCGCTTGAGGGGTTTCCCGATGGGAGAAGGAATGGTGGATTACTGACAGGGTTTTCCTTTTCTTTCTCCCTCTCTTTCATCTAGTTGCTGTACAGGGTTTGGGGCAGTGAGGAATAGCAACCAGGAGCTACATAGTGGTGGTGCTGGTGTAGGGTGCAGGACGTATGTCAGCTCTGGTTTGACTACAAAAAAGTGTGGCTTTTCCTTTTTCCTGCAGTGAGTGTTGCTATGTATTCAGACACCTTATTTTATTTCAAACTGTGGGTAATTCTAAAGCTGGAATATGGGTTTACTTGGATTATCTTCTTTGGATCTTCCTTTAATAGAAAGAAAGACGTTATCAGATTTCTCTGTGGGAGTAGGACTGGCAACATTTTCATATATGACAGCAGCATGGTGAGATGGGCAGAGGTAAGGGTTTGGTATAAAGAGAGACCTGGGAAGAGAATGAGACCTGGTCAGGAGAGACAAGAGAAAGCTTCACATCTTTCCCTGCCGCCCATTAGCAGTGCGGCCTGGACAAGTTCCATAACTTCGCTGAGCCTTAGTATTCTCATTTGTAAAATGTGGCTAAAACTACCTAGCTTTCAAGGATGCTATGAGAACTAAAGATAATGGGTATAGCATAATACTGGTCAGACAGTAGATGCTTAATAAGTGATAATTGTCATTATTACTTAAGGATAGGGACTGGGGATTGAAGAGTTTTGTAGAAACTAAAGCTGGTGTTAAAAAGCAGAAGATATCTGTTGAATAGATGAATAATAATGCAAAGGCTATGTTTCTATACTGTGGAAATCGTTTTAATCCAAGTGACTTTAAGGTGAATTTGTATTTTTTTGAAACTTTATAATGTTTTGTAGTTGTTTAATTTCAGATTCTTCAGGAGGTAGGGAAGAGTGGACTTTTACTTGGGTAGCCTCTCTCTCTCTTTGGGGTTATTCTACACTAAAGTATGGGAGGAAGGAAGAGGTGGGAGTGTAGCATAATAGCAACCCTTTCTCAGACAGATTCTTTTCCCCCCCACATTAAAAAAAAAATTGCACGGTATCATAATTCAGAAATAGTTCAAACGTACTACTTAAAAATACCCATACAATCATCACTGAAAATAAGACTAGAACAAAACCAGCACTCCAGAGATCTCCTTTGCCCCACTCTCATCATAACTCCCCTCCCCACTAGGATAACCACTATGTTGATATTTTTGATAATTCAGAAAGATTATTTTTTTCCTCGTTTATTATGGAGGCTTCAAATCAACCAGCTCCCACCAGAGTAGCTAAAATTAAGAGGACGGACAATACTAAGTATTGATGAGTATGTAGGACAATTGGAACACTCATACACTGTTCTAGGAGTGTAAATGGTGCAGCCATTTTGAAAAACTGGCAGTATTTACTGAAATTGGACTTATAAATACACTATGACCCAGCAGGTTGGTTTCTGGTATATACCCTAGAGAAATAGGTGCTTATGTCTACCAAAAAACATGTATATAAGCATGTTCGTAGCAGCCTTATTCATAATAGCTCCAAACATTTGGGAGCTATGTGGGACATTTGGGAAACAACCCAAATGTCAGTGCATAGAAGAGTGGGTAAATAGAGTTCTATTCAAACTAAAGAACCTACGTTGTTGAGAAAAATGCTGCTGCAGTTGATGTCTGAGACAACTGTGTAGTCTGTAAACAGTGCTCCCATGTTTTAAAACAACTCTGGAAGTATTTTGTCTTGGAGGGAGGAATTATTCTAAGGGAGAGCTATTGACTGAAAAATCAGTGGGTAGCCTGAGCAGTGTTCCAACATTTTCCTGGTCAACCTTGGAATTGCCCTGAGGGATAGGCAGGAAGGAATTTCTAGTTTTTGTATCTACCCAGCCTGTTGTTTGCTAAGAACAACCAAGTTAAATTTTTTCTCCATGATGAAAAGTGTCCCAAGTTCCCTGATGACCTTGGGTAACCAGATCTTGAGTGTGTCACCCAAAAAAGTAACTTGAGCAGTCACCCACCGCTCTGGTGCTTTGGCTGAGGGCTTTCTCAGAGAGAAGCACACCTGGGGAAGGACCTTTGTGTAACACCTCAGTATTTGGAGTTCTTTCCGAATTTGTTTTCCATCTCTGTTTTACTGTTTATAGGACCTGGTACCAAGCTACACCTCTGTTGCTTACAGATCAGAACTTAGGGAGCAGAATTTTGGGGATGTTTCTTTTTTTGAAAGGATGTTTAAAATATATACAGAAGTAGAGTAACATAATGAACACCTAAATACCCACCATGTGGCTTCAACAGTTATCAACATTTTGCCAATCTTGTTTCATCTATCCTGCACTTTTTTTTGGTTAGGATATTTTAAAAGCAAATACCAGATATCATTTCATCCATTATTCTTTTTTTTTTTAATTAGGTGAAAGAGCAGTTTTAAATTCTCTCAGTAGTTGCTATCCCTGTTATATAATGTAGACTGTTCCTTTAATTTCAAGAGAGAAGTCATATTCCAGTGATTTGAAATTAATATGTTAGAGCTGAATTAATTTTAATTTTGTCTTTGAATGGGCAGAGAGATTTTTTTTACCTAAGAAAATATCATATGGATTAATAAACTTTGTAATGGTGTGTTTATTGATGAATGTGAAGCAAAGGCAGAAAAACAGATCTTACAGTAGTTGATACTCCACAGTTCGTGGTTCACCTCACACACTTAAACTGTGGGATACCTGAGCCTCCTTCTGTATCCTTTTACTTTCGCAACTTTACAAACTACAAACCGTCTATAACCTGGAAGTGTCGCTTGCTAGCTATTATTAAAGTTGGGGATTGTTCTCTATTATGGACCTTTTTTAGGGATAGTCTTTCAACAAGCCATTTGCTTGGCAGGACAACTTATGGAAACTTAGAATACAGTTCATGAAGATCCTGAATGAGCTTTATTTAATCCACAGGAATGTGTCTATGGAAGAAATACTTCTAATTATTTTTATTAAGTGTATTAAAATTTTTATTGTTACGTGACTTCAGTTAATCAGCTTGGCATACTTTATATCTCATTGTTAGAAAACAGTTTCTCCTTTCTTGTGACACTGGCACATCATAGAAAACTAAACTCATTTTACTGCACCAAGACTCTTCTGCATTATTTAACCAGCTGTCAAAAGAACCAGTTTCTTTTCAGTCTATAATACATCTTGGGTGGCTTAACAGTTTTGGACTATACAGTTTTTTGCATAATGTGGGTACCTTAATGTGAAGGTTGAAGAAAATGGTTGTGGATTGGAAGTGATTTTCAAACTATTTGCAATGCTGAGTTAAATGGTGTACAGAGAAACAACGTATGCCAAAATGATGTAACTTTAACTTCAAGTTGATGGGTAGATTTAAGAATGATAAAATTGAGGCAAAAGCATGTTAATTAAAAAGAAATTCAGGGCTTCTCTGGTGGCGCATGGTTGAGGGTCTGCCTGCCGATGCAGGGGACACGGGTTCATGCCCCGGTCTGGGAAGATCCCACATGCCGCGGAGCGGCTGGGCCTGTGAGCCATGGCCTCTGAGCCTGCGCGTCCGGAGCCTGTGCTCCACAACGGGAGAGGCCACAACAGTGAGAGGCCCGCGTACTGCAAAAAAAAAAAAAGAAATTCAAACATATTGCAAAAGTAAACAGTAGTGTAATGACCTCCCCTGAATCTGTCACCCAACTTCAGCAGTTTTCAATTCATAGCCAACTATGTCCATTATACCTTCACCCACGCCCCCTTTTCCTATATTATTTTGAAACAAGTCTCAGATTATATATAATTTCACCTCTAAAAGATAAGGACTCTTAAAGAAATAACTACAATACTGTTATCACTTATCAAAAAATTTAACAATAATTCCATAACACCAGATATTAGTTAAGTGCTTACATTTCCAGTAGTCCTCATAAATGCAGTTTTGTAATGGATTTTTGGAAACAGGATCGAAATAAGGCCATACATTTTAATTGGTTGATATATTAAAAAAATTTCTTTCCTGCTCTCTTTTTCAATGTGTTAAAAATGCATTATCATTGCATCCTCCATGGGTTGGCTGTGCTGATTGGGTAGTTTTCACTTGGGATCTTGTGGTGAGATCACACGGGGCAGGAGTCTGAAGGCTCGACTTGGCTGGAGGTCCAAGATGATGCTTTCAAATCTCTCCATGGATTCCTCCTCTTCTTATTTTCTTTGCTTTCTTTTCTCTTTTTTTGGTTGTTGAAGAAATCAGATTATTTGTCCTATAGAGTTTCCCACTGTGCTTATTTTGCCAATTGCTATGTCTCCGTGTCCTTTGACATACTCCTCTCCTGTATTTCCTGTAAATTGGTAGTTGGATGTGGAGGTTTGATCAGATTTTTGTTGGGGAAGGACTACTTTGTGGGTTCTATTGAGAGGCATGTGGTGTCTGGTTGTCTCTTGTGTTAGAAGTAGCTATTAATGATCAGTGCCTAAATCCATTAATTCATTGAGAGTTGCAAAATGGTGAAATTTTAATTCTATCATTAATTTTTTTATTAGCTGGAATACTTCTATGAAGTAACTATTTGGTCATTGGTATAGTTTGTATAGAAAGGTAGAATTAGTAATATTTAATTTGTCTCCTTTACTTACCAGTTTTTAAAAATAATGAGTTGGTAGTTCACTAGCATCCTTCAGCTGTGACCAATTAACTTAAAAAAAAACTATCATGAACTAATGGATTTAAACACAATTTATGTATTTAGGTACTTCAGTTTGATAATGAATGAAGGGAGTATTCATTGCTTCTTTGAAAATAATTTTAAAATATTTGGAAAATACTTTAAATAAATTTAAAATATTAGTAAAAATCTTTGGAAGTGCTCCTAAGCAAGAAAAAAGGTTTAAAACATTGTAATAGTAAGGAGAATGAATCAGAAGGATAGATTTTCTTTTTAACTTGAGTGAATTTTATTTATGAAAAATATCCAATGATGCTATAAAGGTAAATTAAGAAGGAAGAATCATTATTGCTTAAAAATGTATCTTGTCTACCCTAGTGCCATCCCTTCTTCTTTATGTCCCTCAATTCCAGTTTGAAAGCTGAATGGCTGTATAGTCAAGGCAAGGGGAGAGCATATCGGCCTGGCCAGCACATCCAGCTTGTCCAGTATCTGGCTACAGTCTGTCCTCTCACTTCTACGCTGGGTCTTCAGACTGCAGAGGATGCCAAACTAGAGAAGATTCTGAGCAAGCAGAGGTGAGCCCATTTATCTGTAGCGGTTGATGAATTCACAAGTGAAAAACCTCTGACTCTTTCCTGCAGGGTTAGTAGGATTGAGGTGAGTGCTGCGGCCCACATTTCTGGGCACGTGGGCCACTGGTCACTGTAGCAGTTCTGTAGGGGAACCGAACCTTGCAGTGCAGTCCAGTTTGCTCCCTAGCAACTGCATTGCTAATCATTTCTTCAGTGGGGAGGGCCAAGCAGCATGGGAGAGTGGGATTTTTAAAAATTGCATTTGTCCCTTAATGTGGGTGTTTCATATGGGTTTTAAAATACTAACATTAAGAAGTATAGCTTGGGGCTTCCCTGGTGGCGCAGTGGTTGAGAGTCCGCCTACTGATGCAGGGGACACAGGTTTGTGCCCCAGTCTGGGAGGATCCCATGTGCCGCGGAGCGGCTGGGCCCGTGAGCCATGGCCGCTGAGCCTGCATGTCCGGAGCCTGTGCTCTGCAGCGGGAGAGGCCACAACAGTGAGAGGCCCACGTACCGCAAAAAAAAATAAAATAAAAAAATAAAAAAAATAAAAGAAGTATAGTTTGGAGTCTTCCCTGGTGGCGCAGTGGTTAAGAATCCGCCTGCCAATGCAGGGGATGTGGGTTTGATCCCTGGTCCGAGAAGATCCCACATGCCACAGAGCAACTAATCCTGTGCACCGCAGCAAGAGAAGCCACCACAATGAGAAGCCTGCGCACCGCAACGAAGAGTAGCCCCCGCTTGCTGCAACTAGAGAAAGCCCGCACGCGGCAACGAAGACCCAACTCAGCCAAACATAAATAAAAATTAAAAAAAAAAAAAGTATAGTTTGGGAATTGCCTGGCGGTCCAGTGGTTAAGACTCCACACTTTCACTGGGGAGGACCCAGGTTCAGTCCCTGGTTGGGGAGCTAAGATCCCACAAGCCATGCAGCGCAAGCAAAAAAAAAAGTATAGCTAGAAGCATTTAGTAGTCACTTCTTTTATCAGAGATCCTGCCTTTGAAGGTTTGTGCATGTATATGCATATGATGGTGTCTGACTATGTGAGTTAAAAATAAGTTTCTTAACCTTTTCTATCCAGTGCTTTTAAATGAGACTTTGTAATTTGGGGGTTATTAAAGGTACATACATTCTGCTTTTTTAAAAAAAATTATTTTATTGAAGTAGAGTTGATTTACAATGTTGTGTCAATCTCTGCTGTACAGCACAGTAACTCAGTTATACACATATAGACATTCTTTTTTTATATTCTTTTCCATTATGGTTTATCCCAGGAGATTGGATGTAGTTCCCTGTGCTGTACAGGAGGACCTTGTCGTTTATCCGTCCTAAATGTAATAGTTTGCATCTACCAACCCAGAACTCCCAGTCCATCCCTCTCCCTCCCCTCCTCCCCCTTGGCAACCACGAGTCTGTTCTCTATGTCTGTGAGTCTGTTTCTGTTTTGTAGATAGGTTCTTTTGTGCCATATTTTAGATTCTGCATACAAGTGGTATCATGTATTTGTCTTTCTCTTTCTGACATACTTCAGTATGATAATCTCTAGTTGCATCCATGTTGCTGCAAATGGCATTATTTCATTCTTTTTTATGGGTGAGTAGTATTCCATTGTGTATATGTACCCCATCTTCTTTATCCATTCATCTGTCGATGGACATTCAGGTTGTTTCCATGTTTTGGCTATTGTAAATAGTGCTGCTATAAACAAGGGGTACATGTGTCTTTTTGAATTATAGTTTTGTCTGGGTATATGCTCAGGAGTGGGATTGCTGGGTCATATGGTAATTCTATTTTCAGTTTTCTGAGGAACTTCCATACTGTTTTCCATAGTGGCTGCACCAATTTACATTCCCACCAACAGTGTAGGAGGGTTCCCTTTTCTCCATACCCTCTCCAGCATTTGTATTTGTAGACTTTAAAAAAAATTTTAAGATATTTTAAAATTTAATTTTATTATTATTTAAAATTTTACTATTTGGCTGCATTGGGTCTTAGTTGTGGCACGCAAGATCTTCGTTGTGGTGTGTGGGCTTCTCTAGTTGCAATGCTTGGGCTTCTCTCTAGTTGTGGCACACAGGCTCTAGAGCGCGAGGGCCCAGTAGTTGTGGCGCATGGGTTTAGTTGCCCTGTGGCATGTGGGACCTTAGTTCCCTGACCAGGGATTGAACCCCTATCCCCTGCATTGGAAGGTGGATTCTTAACCAGTGGACCACCAGGGAAGTCCCTGTTATTTGTAGACTTTGATGATAGCCATTCTGACCCACGTGAGGTGGTACCTCATTGTAGGTTTGATTTGCATTTCTCCAATAATTAGTGATGTTGAGCATCTTTTCATGTGCCTACTGTCCATCTGTATGTCTTCTTTGGAGAAATGTCTGTTAAGGTCTTCTGCCCACTTTTCAATTGGGTTGGTTTTTTTGTTGTTGAGTTGTATGAACTGTTTGTATTTTGGAGATTAAGCCCTTGTCAGCCGCATCGTTTGGAAATATTTTCTCCCAGTCTGTAGGTTGTATTTTCTTTTGTTGTTGCTGTTTTTTTTTTTTTTATATGGTTTCCTTTGCTGTGCAAAAGCTTGTAGGTTTGATTAGGTCCCTTTTTTTTTATGGCTTTTAAAAATAATTAATTAATTTTTAAATTTTTGGCTGTGTTGGGTTTTTGTTGCTGTGAGCCGGCTTTCTCTAGTTGTGGTGAGTGGGGGCTACTCTTCGTTACCGTACACAGGCTTCTCATTGTTGTGGCTTCTCTTGTTGTGGAGCACGAGCTCTAGGCGCACAGTCTTCAGTAGCTGTGGCACGTGGGCTCAGTAGTTGTGGCTTGCAGGCTCTAGAGCTCAGGCTCAGTAGTTGTGGTGCATGGGCTTAGTTGCTCCACGGCATATGGGATCTTCCTGGGCCAGGGCTCGAACCCATGTCCCTTGCATTGGCAGGCAGATTCTTAACCACTGTGCCACCAGGGAAGCCCCCCCATTTTTTAATTTTTGTTTTTATTTCTATTGCCTTGGGAGACTGACCTAAGAAAATATTGGTATGATTTATGTCAGAGAATGTTTTGCCTATGCTTTCTTCTAGGAGTTTTATGGTGTCTTGTCCTATGTTTAAGTCTTTAAGCCATTTTGAGTTTATTTTTGTGCATGGTGTGAGGGTGTGTTCTGTTTTTTTTTGTGTTTTTTTTTTGTTTTCTGGCTTTGCTGAGCAGCTTATGGGATTTTAGTTTCCCGACTAGGGATCGAACCTGGGTGTTCGGCAGTGAGAGCATGGAGGGACCACTGGGCCACCACTGGACCACCACCCTCCCCTGTTGAGGGTGTGTTCTAACTTCATTGATTTACATGCAGCTGTCCAACTTTCCCAGCACCACTTGCTGAAGAGACTGTCTTTTTCCCACTTTATATTCTTGCCCTTCAAAGGTATATACTTTGAAAGCTTGTAAACTTCTACATTTTTGACAGTGTTACCCTTCAAAGGAAGCAGAAAAAGCTTTCTTTTTTCGGTTTGCGTTAGATCACATCAGATGTTACTGATTTTTAGGTTTCACCAGAGGCAGTTGATGAACCAGAGTCAAAATGAAGAGTCGTCTTCTCTTGCTCCTGTTGAAACAAGGGCATCCCTTGTACTGGAGCATTCCAGCCCCATTCAAGATTGCCAGGTAGTCCAGGAAAGTGGTAAGATGTTAACTGATCTCTGATCCTTTTTCTCCAAGTTGTTTGATCTGTTTGGTATCATAAAACAAAAAAAGTACATGTTTTCATAATTTTATACTTGTTAGCTTAAGTGAACATTTGGATCTTATATTATATATATATGTATATACACAGATAGACATATATAACTACTATATGTCTAATTTTTGAAAACATTCAGAGAACTGCTACCTTTTGAAGTGACCTGGTACTTTGATTATTCTTATGACCATTGCAAGAATTCATTTTCTTAAAAATATTTGATTTGGTGTTTTAGGCATATTGGAGGAAATTACTGAAAACATTTCATTGTGCTTTACTATATTTCAGGGATTAGAGTTCATTAAAAGGATCCAACTGAAAAAATATCTCTTTAAACATTTAATGTTTTAAATGATGTTCTGTTGATTCTTTTAGAACCCGTCATCCAGGTCAATTCTTGGGTTGGGATAAGCAGTAATGATGACCATTTATATGCTGTTAAGAATAACTTTCCAGCCTCTGTACACACTACAAGATATTCTCGAAATGACCTGCACCTGGAAGACATCCAGACAGATGAAGACAAGTTAAACTGTAGTCTTCTCTCTTCAGAGTCTACTTTTATGCCAGTTGCATCAGGACTGTCTCCAGTATCACCTACAGTTGAGCTGAGGCTGCAAGACATTAACTTGGGCCTAGAAAATGATGGTGCTGCAGATGAATCTGTGAAATGTCTGGAAAACAACGGTTTTGATAAGGAAGGGGAAAAGGCTTTTTGGGCTGCAAATGAGAATTCTGTTGAGATGACAAAAAGTGCTATCAGTACAGAGGTAAATGAGAAAGATGGGCTATTACCTTGTCGTGAGCCAACAGTAACCAATGCCGTCATAAAGGATGACACCCACAGTCTTACATCTTTTCCTGAGTCAGTTGGACACAATGTCTTCCATACGCAGCCAGACAGTGAAGAAACCATGTCTCAAATAGCTTCAGAGAAACTTCCTTGCAGGGTTTTAACCCACAGATCTCTTACTTTGGGACAAAATAAAGTTGCCCTTCAGAAATTGAATGAAGCAGCCACCAAGCTTCAGGCCTATTGGCGGGGCTTTTATGCCAGAAACTACAACCCACAAGCTAAAGATGTACGCTATGAAATCCGGCTGCGCCGGATGCAGGAACACATTGTCTGCCTAACTGATGAAATAAGGAGGTGGGTGAGAAGTCCCTGTTTAGGACTTTTACAGTTTGGATGCTGTTTGGTTGGTTTGGGGGTGTCAGATTGTTAGCATTGATTCAGAACACTGAATCACTGCTTTTGTGGCCAGGGCACTTTCCATACTGTGTTGCCACTCTTGGTTTGTCTCCTACAATATACTGAAAGCATCTTGAGTGCAGGGACTGCCATATGCATCTTCATCTGTAGTACAGCAATTGGAACATAGATGCAGCATAGCAGTAAATTTTGAATGAATACATGCCTTATGGACATTTATATACCTAAACACGGAAGGTACAGAAAACATAGAAAAACTGAATTTTAAGTATAAAAATGAGAAAATGAGAAAGTCTACATAGAACCCAGTAGGTGACATAAGAATTAAAGAAAATAGGGACTTCCCTGGTGGTGCAGTGGTTGGGAGTCTGCCTGCCGATGCAGGGGACACAGGTTTGTGCCCCGGTCCGGGAAGATCCCACGTGCAGCAGAGCGGCTGGACCCGTGAGCCATGGCCGCTGAGCCTGCGCGTCCGGAGCCTGTGCTCCGCAATGGGAGAGGCCACAGCAGTGAGAGGCCTGCGTACCGCAAAAAAAGGGTTCTATTGAGAGGCATGTGGTGTCTGGTTGTCTCTTGTGTTAGAAGTAGCTATTAATGATCAGTGCCTAAATCCATTAATTCATTGAGAGTTGCAAAATGGTGAAATTTTAATTCTATCATTAATTTTTTTATTAGCTGGAATACTTCTATGAAGTAACTATTTGGTCATTGGTATAGTTTGTATAGAAAGGTAGAATTAGTAATATTTAATTTGTCTCCTTTACTTACCAGTTTTTAAAAATAATGAGTTGGTAGTTCACTAGCATCCTTCAGCTGTGACCAATTAACTTAAAAAAAAACTATCATGAACTAATGGATTTAAACACAATTTATGTATTTAGGTACTTCAGTTTGATAATGAATGAAGGGAGTATTCATTGCTTCTTTGAAAATAATTTTAAAATATTTGGAAAATACTTTAAATAAATTTAAAATATTAGTAAAAATCTTTGGAAGTGCTCCTAAGCAAGAAAAAAGGTTTAAAACATTGTAATAGTAAGGAGAATGAATCAGAAGGATAGATTTTCTTTTTAACTTGAGTGAATTTTATTTATGAAAAATATCCAATGATGCTATAAAGGTAAATTAAGAAGGAAGAATCATTATTGCTTAAAAATGTATCTTGTCTACCCTAGTGCCATCCCTTCTTCTTTATGTCCCTCAATTCCAGTTTGAAAGCTGAATGGCTGTATAGTCAAGGCAAGGGGAGAGCATATCGGCCTGGCCAGCACATCCAGCTTGTCCAGTATCTGGCTACAGTCTGTCCTCTCACTTCTACGCTGGGTCTTCAGACTGCAGAGGATGCCAAACTAGAGAAGATTCTGAGCAAGCAGAGGTGAGCCCATTTATCTGTAGCGGTTGATGAATTCACAAGTGAAAAACCTCTGACTCTTTCCTGCAGGGTTAGTAGGATTGAGGTGAGTGCTGCGGCCCACATTTCTGGGCACGTGGGCCACTGGTCACTGTAGCAGTTCTGTAGGGGAACCGAACCTTGCAGTGCAGTCCAGTTTGCTCCCTAGCAACTGCATTGCTAATCATTTCTTCAGTGGGGAGGGCCAAGCAGCATGGGAGAGTGGGATTTTTAAAAATTGCATTTGTCCCTTAATGTGGGTGTTTCATATGGGTTTTAAAATACTAACATTAAGAAGTATAGCTTGGGGCTTCCCTGGTGGCGCAGTGGTTGAGAGTCCGCCTACTGATGCAGGGGACAAAGGTTTGTGCCCCAGTCTGGGAGGATCCCATGTGCCGCGGAGCGGCTGGGCCCGTGAGCCATGGCCGCTGAGCCTGCATGTCCGGAGCCTGTGCTCTGCAGCGGGAGAGGCCACAACAGTGAGAGGCCCACGTACCGCAAAAAAAAATAAAATAAAAAAATAAAAAAAATAAAAGAAGTATAGTTTGGAGTCTTCCCTGGTGGCGCAGTGGTTAAGAATCCGCCTGCCAATGCAGGGGATGTGGGTTTGATCCCTGGTCCGAGAAGATCCCACATGCCACAGAGCAACTAATCCTGTGCACCGCAGCAAGAGAAGCCACCACAATGAGAAGCCTGCGCACCGCAACGAAGAGTAGCCCCCGCTTGCTGCAACTAGAGAAAGCCCGCACGCGGCAACGAAGACCCAACTCAGCCAAACATAAATAAAAATTAAAAAAAAAAAAAGTATAGTTTGGGAATTGCCTGGCGGTCCAGTGGTTAAGACTCCACACTTTCACTGGGGAGGACCCAGGTTCAGTCCCTGGTTGGGGAGCTAAGATCCCACAAGCCATGCAGCGCAAGCAAAAAAAAAAGTATAGCTAGAAGCATTTAGTAGTCACTTCTTTTATCAGAGATCCTGCCTTTGAAGGTTTGTGCATGTATATGCATATGATGGTGTCTGACTATGTGAGTTAAAAATAAGTTTCTTAACCTTTTCTATCCAGTGCTTTTAAATGAGACTTTGTAATTTGGGGGTTATTAAAGGTACATACATTCTGCTTTTTTAAAAAAAATTATTTTATTGAAGTAGAGTTGATTTACAATGTTGTGTCAATCTCTGCTGTACAGCACAGTAACTCAGTTATACACATATAGACATTCTTTTTTTATATTCTTTTCCATTATGGTTTATCCCAGGAGATTGGATGTAGTTCCCTGTGCTGTACAGGAGGACCTTGTCGTTTATCCGTCCTAAATGTAATAGTTTGCATCTACCAACCCAGAACTCCCAGTCCATCCCTCTCCCTCCCCTCCTCCCCCTTGGCAACCACGAGTCTGTTCTCTATGTCTGTGAGTCTGTTTCTGTTTTGTAGATAGGTTCTTTTGTGCCATATTTTAGATTCTGCATACAAGTGGTATCATGTATTTGTCTTTCTCTTTCTGACATACTTCAGTATGATAATCTCTAGTTGCATCCATGTTGCTGCAAATGGCATTATTTCATTCTTTTTTATGGGTGAGTAGTATTCCATTGTGTATATGTACCCCATCTTCTTTATCCATTCATCTGTCGATGGACATTCAGGTTGTTTCCATGTTTTGGCTATTGTAAATAGTGCTGCTATAAACAAGGGGTACATGTGTCTTTTTGAATTATAGTTTTGTCTGGGTATATGCTCAGGAGTGGGATTGCTGGGTCATATGGTAATTCTATTTTCAGTTTTCTGAGGAACTTCCATACTGTTTTCCATAGTGGCTGCACCAATTTACATTCCCACCAACAGTGTAGGAGGGTTCCCTTTTCTCCATACCCTCTCCAGCATTTGTATTTGTAGACTTTAAAAAAAATTTTAAGATATTTTAAAATTTAATTTTATTATTATTTAAAATTTTACTATTTGGCTGCATTGGGTCTTAGTTGTGGCACGCAAGATCTTCGTTGTGGTGTGTGGGCTTCTCTAGTTGCAATGCTTGGGCTTCTCTCTAGTTGTGGCACACAGGCTCTAGAGCGCGAGGGCCCAGTAGTTGTGGCGCATGGGTTTAGTTGCCCTGTGGCATGTGGGACCTTAGTTCCCTGACCAGGGATTGAACCCCTATCCCCTGCATTGGAAGGTGGATTCTTAACCAGTGGACCACCAGGGAAGTCCCTGTTATTTGTAGACTTTGATGATAGCCATTCTGACCCACGTGAGGTGGTACCTCATTGTAGGTTTGATTTGCATTTCTCCAATAATTAGTGATGTTGAGCATCTTTTCATGTGCCTACTGTCCATCTGTATGTCTTCTTTGGAGAAATGTCTGTTAAGGTCTTCTGCCCACTTTTCAATTGGGTTGGTTTTTTTGTTGTTGAGTTGTATGAACTGTTTGTATTTTGGAGATTAAGCCCTTGTCAGCCGCATCGTTTGGAAATATTTTCTCCCAGTCTGTAGGTTGTATTTTCTTTTGTTGTTGCTGTTTTTTTTTTTTTTATATGGTTTCCTTTGCTGTGCAAAAGCTTGTAGGTTTGATTAGGTCCCTTTTTTTTTATGGCTTTTAAAAATAATTAATTAATTTTTAAATTTTTGGCTGTGTTGGGTTTTTGTTGCTGTGAGCCGGCTTTCTCTAGTTGTGGTGAGTGGGGGCTACTCTTCGTTACCGTACACAGGCTTCTCATTGTTGTGGCTTCTCTTGTTGTGGAGCACGAGCTCTAGGCGCACAGTCTTCAGTAGCTGTGGCACGTGGGCTCAGTAGTTGTGGCTTGCAGGCTCTAGAGCTCAGGCTCAGTAGTTGTGGTGCATGGGCTTAGTTGCTCCACGGCATATGGGATCTTCCTGGGCCAGGGCTCGAACCCATGTCCCTTGCATTGGCAGGCAGATTCTTAACCACTGTGCCACCAGGGAAGCCCCCCCATTTTTTAATTTTTGTTTTTATTTCTATTGCCTTGGGAGACTGACCTAAGAAAATATTGGTATGATTTATGTCAGAGAATGTTTTGCCTATGCTTTCTTCTAGGAGTTTTATGGTGTCTTGTCCTATGTTTAAGTCTTTAAGCCATTTTGAGTTTATTTTTGTGCATGGTGTGAGGGTGTGTTCTGTTTTTTTTTGTGTTTTTTTTTTGTTTTCTGGCTTTGCTGAGCAGCTTATGGGATTTTAGTTTCCCGACTAGGGATCGAACCTGGGTGTTCGGCAGTGAGAGCATGGAGGGACCACTGGGCCACCACTGGACCACCACCCTCCCCTGTTGAGGGTGTGTTCTAACTTCATTGATTTACATGCAGCTGTCCAACTTTCCCAGCACCACTTGCTGAAGAGACTGTCTTTTTCCCACTTTATATTCTTGCCCTTCAAAGGTATATACTTTGAAAGCTTGTAAACTTCTACATTTTTGACAGTGTTACCCTTCAAAGGAAGCAGAAAAAGCTTTCTTTTTTCGGTTTGCGTTAGATCACATCAGATGTTACTGATTTTTAGGTTTCACCAGAGGCAGTTGATGAACCAGAGTCAAAAT